GGAAATCTGTTTGCATCTGTTTTATGGATTCCATTTGTTTCCTATATTGGGATTCCATCATGTTCCTCAGCGCCTATTTTTTTATCTGTGTCCTCTCTAGATTTATTAATCATGTCTTGCACAATGGCAAAATCTTTGCTGTTATCTGAGAAATTATTTCTGATTTCATTTTTTTCCAGATCCCCTTTTGTTGCCAGTTCAGGGAGTCCAGGTGGTTGAGTATCATAGTGTTCCATCTCGTTTCTCTTTTTGGTTGCTTTAGGTGATTTGGAAGTCTGATTTTGAGACTTTTTATGTGTCTTCTCATTTCGCGGGGGTGGGGGGGGATTATCGTTGTTGGTACCTGCACTACTCACTTCCTCTGCGCTGGAGGTGGTGGTGGTAGGGCCGCCTGGAAGCCTCCTCCTGGGTGCTGGGAGCTGGGTGCAGCTCACCTCCTCTGTGCTGTACAGATTTTACTTTGACACAGCTGTCTATCCAGGGTTTTGTTGTTTCCCCACTTCACCTTTTGTTCCGAAAGTGCCAATCATTAAGTTATTCCATTCTTTTTTTTATTATTCTATTTTAGTCTTGAAACCTCTTAACTTAGTTTTTCCCTTTTTGGGTTATTTTAATTTCTCATACATATTGCCAGTACCCCCAGCCCCCTTTATCGTAGTGGTGGTAAGGATTGAAGGTGCTTACGTTGAGCTACATTCCCAGACCATTTTTTTTTTTTGGTACCCGGAATCAAACTCAGGACCTTGAGCTTGCACAGGAGGCAGAACCACTGAGCTAAATTCCCAGTCCCCTAGACCATTTTTAATGTATTTTTATTTTTTAATTTTTTTTTGGTACCGGGGATCAAACTCGGGTCTCTGTGCTTGCGCAGCAGGTGGCGAAACCACTGAGCTAAATCCCCGGCCCTAATGTATTTTTATTTTGAGATAGGGTCTCATGTCCAGGTCTAGGTTGGACCAGGTTGGGCTTGAACTTGGTATCCTTCTGTCATCCTACTGGAGTACTGGGATCACAGGTGTGTGCCACCATGCTCAGCATTATTTAGACTTGATATAGTATTCTTTTTCAGCTGCTATTTTGAAAGTTTGTTGAACATCTCCTTTTGGTTACCACCTTCACTAATGTTTTCAGTCTGTATTATACTCTATCTGTACTTTCAGTTGTGTTTAACTTAAAAATTTTACTCAAGGGCTGGGGATTTAGCTCGGTGGTTTCGCCACCTGCCTCACAAGTGCAAGGACCCGAGTTCGATCCCTGGTACCCAAAAAAACAAAATTTTACTCAAAATGGGTATTCCTTTCATATCTCACCCTACCCATTCAATACCTCCAGGATAAATATGCAATTAAAGCAGATATACATGATATTTCAAAACAAAAGCACCTATGTTTAATTTTGAATTATACCATGTTAAATAAGGGGAAAAATGAGGAAAATAGAACCCTTGGGAAGAAGCAGGGGATTATGATCATGAACAAGTTGTGGTAGGAAAATATAGAAAATTATATATAGGTAAGTGGAATAGTGAGTAATTGTGGATATAGATCAAGTAAGGAACATTTCTCTCAATTAGTGTCTTTGTTTTGAGTACTGTGGATTGAACCCAGAGCTGTGCATTGAACTACATCCCTGAATTTTTAAAACTTTGAATCAGGGTCTCACGAAATTGGTCAGACTGGCTTCAAACTTGCAGTCTTAACTCAGTAGCTGGTGTTACAAGCATGCATCATCATGCCTGGCAAATCTATGTCTATGTAATACCATAATATGTAATACCATAAAAATCCATACTAAAGTAATATTTTCAATCTGTTTTATAGGGTAAAACTTCATTTGATGCAAGTGAAGAGAATCTAGGTAAATTTTTTTGTTCTTGTTTTGAAGAATATGTGTATATATCTGTTTTAATTGCTATTAAAAGTAATTTTTTTTTATAGTCATGAAAAAGAAAAGAGGAAGAGAAGATGAATCATACAATATTTCAGAGGTCATGTCAAAAGAGGTAAAAATGGGGAGAATAGTTAATGTTCAGTTTAAGTAAAACCTGTTACAAGTTTTGAACACCCCAAAGCTGTAGGAATTACTGTTGCTTGGCTTTTCAATATGTTTTATTTTTTTTATTTTTAAAATTCTTTTTGGTACTGGGGATCAAACTCAGGTTCTGCTTGGGAGGCAGGTGCCAGAACCACTGAGCTAAATCCCCAGCCCTTTCCAATATGTTTTAAATGCTTCATTTGGGTAATGTTTGGGTATTCTTTTAAAATCAACCCCAAGTAAAAGATATATAAACTTATAGCTAATAGTAATAGAGAAAGAGACCAGTTCTGTATTACCAATTGTGTTGTTCTGTTTAATGTCATATTTTTTAAGTGAAGCTGCCAAAAAATTTGAACCCTTATGTTTGTACATATCTGCCGAAATGAAACACGTTAATCTGTATAACCAGTATGCACTAATAAAATGTGGAAAAATAAGTGAATAATAAAGTATTATAAAAATATGAAACTGTCAGTGTTCAGGAGATTTTGGACTAATCTGAAAATGTCTTACTTTCATAGACTTATCTTTTAAAATGACAGCTTTTTATCTTCAGGCTGTATTGGTTTTTCTTTCAAGTTGTATGTGTATCAGTAATAAATTGATTTTTTTCCAGTCATTATGTCTTTATTAAATACCTAGTAGTGGACTTATAGCATTGTTATCAGTAACTCTGAGTAGAGAAGAGAGGAAAATTCTACGTCAATGTGTTCAGAAGCCTAGAGATTAGAATTACAGTATTTCTGGATAGAGAGCGGGTAGTAAGAATGCTGTCTGACTAGAGAAAGAGTTTTAGGAAAGAAGATGGCATCAACTGTTTGTTGAAGAAGTCCAAGGTTGGGCTAATCACAAATTGTTATTATAGTGTAACTTTATGTAGCATTCAAATTGTACTAAAAACTTTATTCTTGTTCCTTGTTGAAGAAATACTTTTAGGAAACTGAAATCTTACTCCTTTTTTAAAAACTTTTTTCCCCCATTCTTGCTGTTGTCTTACAAAGTATGAATGAATTAAAAGTGTGTTCAGTTGACAAACTTTAAATGTTTTATTTTTGATGTCACATTGTTACATTTTTAAAAGACCTACTTTTATTATTGCCTACTGTATTTTTCTTTTCCTTGAAATTCAAACTCTTTAGATCTTAATAGGAAATTGTGTGTGACAAGTGCTTTAAGGGCGCACTGTGATTTTTTAAGTTACAAATAATGAGTCCACCAAAATTGATTACCTAATTGGCCACAGTTGCAAAAATACATTATACTTTATTGAGATTTAGCCAGACATGCAGCTGCTCATTTGATGCAAACTGTATCATAAGTAGGTGAGATCCACTAGTAAAGAAAGGGAACATTTTTTGTCTTAGCCTACATCCAGTGAGAAACATAGAAATAAATAATCACTGAAATTGGAAAAGTAGATGCAGTTGAGAAACTTGAGAGGGGTTCTTTGGTATAAGGTTCATAAAAGTTTTTATCTGCAAAGTGACATCTGCAAGCACTGAGTAGAACATACAGTATATGTTCAAATGAAAAATTATAATAAGGCACATTGCCATTAATCCCCTCAAATGACTCCCCCCCCCTTGTTTTGAATACACATTCCATCATTTTTGCCCATTTTCTAAAGCAGATGTGAAAGTCTTTTGTGCGTCTTTTAAAAAAATTTTTATTGCTGCATGTTTGCAGTACATGATGATTACATTCACTGTTATGAGTGTCTTAACAGTGTGATCAAAATAATGTTGCTGGGTGCCATCCCACAGATAGGCAGGCTTGTAAAAGCATGATGTGTTCTCATCCACCTTATTCACCATATCTGCCCCCACCCCACCCCCGTGTGACTTCTGGCCCTTCCCCAAAGTCAAAATGGACATGAGAGGTTAATGCTTTGAATCAATTCAGGGCACTGAGGCAGATACAACACATGTATAAAGACATGAAAGGACTTCCAGAACTGCTTCAGAAGATGGAAAGAATGATGGGATAAGTGTGTTTGCAGTGAGGGGGAATATTTTGAGGGGGATTAGTGGCAATGTGTCTTACTATAAAATTTTTTTTTAAAGTTGGGCATGGCAGCACATGTCTGTAATCCCAGCACTTGGCATTGCTGTGAGTTCAAGTCCAGCCTGGGTTGCATAATGAGTTCAGCCTTGAACTACATAGTGAAATCCTGTCTCAACATCCCGCCCCCGCCGCCAAATCCTCACAGGACTATTTTTTAAAACCATAGCCACAATAGTTATCACATTATTTAAAGTTGGTAGGAATTCCCTAATGTAAGCAATTTTCCAATAGGCTCTTTTTTTTTTTTTTTTTTGTACTGGGGATCGAACTCGGGTCCTTGCGCTTGCACAGCAGGCAACGAAACCACTGAGCTAAATCCCTGGCCAAATTTTTTGGGTGTTTTTTTTGTTTTTGGTACCGGGGATCGAACTTGGGTCCTTGAGCTTGCGAGGCAGCCAGCAGAACCACTCCGGCCCTAGGCTCATATTTTTTATAGTTCAAATCAGGATCTGAATTGTGCACATGGATTACATTTAATATATCCCTTGGGTCTTTCTTTGTTTTTTTTTTTTTTAACTCTGAGGGTTGTGTGGTTTGTTTTGTTTTTAGTTTTTGCTGTTTTTGTAAATTGTTGGAGAAAAGTAATTTTATATAATTTCCCACATTCTGAATTTTGCTTATTGCATCCCCTTAATTTCTCTGCCCTTTGTATTTCCTGTAAATTGATAGATCTGGAAGTTGGTGACTGAAATTTCATTTTCAGTGAGACTTCTTCCTGCATGATACTTACATGCTTTGATACTTAGATGTTTTGTAAATTGTTCTCCACAAAGGTTCAGTTTATTTAAAGCATAGCTCTTCTATTGGTTCCCTATATAAAATCTTTTCAGCCTTAGGATAGAATATCTGTCTATACATGGATTGCATACTTTGTGTACACACATGACCCACATACATGTGTGTATATATATGTGTCAGCCATTTACTGGCATGTTCTGTCAATCCTACGCATCTTAAATTTCATATTTGATCAGTTTCTTGAAAGTATTTCATCTGTATCTTTAACACATGATGGTCTTGTGTTCTCTCTTTGAAATGTACATTTTCTTTGATGATTAAGCCTAGTGACAAATTTTTCAGGTAATTTGGTATAGCAGTGCTCTGTTAAGTCACCAGGTGACACTCTTGTAGTGTTTGTCTGTTAGGTACTTCAAAATCAGTACACTTTATTTGTATGTCCTGCTTGTGTTTGCTTTTCATCCTTTATTCCAGACTTGCAGATCTACCCACAGATGCCCAAAGTGGGCTGGTGCTGGGTTGGCAAACTTATTCGGTAAATAGCCAGATAATATTTTGAGTTTTTGAGGTAACTACTCAAACCTGAACTCTGCTGTTGTAGCTGAAAACAGCCATAGCAGAATGTAAACATATGAGCCTGACTTTGTTTTCATCTAAAACTACAGAAACAGACTGCCAGCTCAAGTTGATCTGCAGGCTCTTGTTTGCTGACTAGAGGATTGCTACCATGTGTGAATTTGCACTTAAGTCTATTCACATTAGAAAAAAAAAAAAAGGCTGGAAAAACCCAGTTTTAAAAAATATTGACAATTGAGACTATGAGCTAAAAGTGGCTGTAAGGCTTGATTTTGACTGTGGACTACCAGTTCAAATTCTTTTTTAACTACCTTGAGTGCTTTATCATTTTTTGCTGTAAAATTAGCACAGAATAAATGTTTGTTGAATAAATAAATGGGCCTTATAAATTATTAATTTGTTTTGGATTTTTCAATCTTCTAGGAAATTTTATCTGTGGCTAAAAAAAATAAAAAGGAAAATGAGGTAAGATATCTATAATAGAATAAATTTAGGTGTTATGCTTGCATCATTTTTTTCCCTTTGAATTGACTTAATCCCAGTTTTCACATTCTTAAATTGGAGTTAGACATTTCTGATCAGTAAAATCTGCCATTGATTTCCAAGTTGGTGCTGAGTGTCATAGATAACATTGACATTCTTAAGTGTGATATACTGAGCTTTTAAAATTTTATATTGTCCCTTTCCTTTCAACAAAGGTAATTATTTAAATGAAAGTAAATGTTTCTATGCTTCCTGAAAGAACTCCCTCCATGCATTTCCCCATGGACATCTGTTGTCCTTGTGAGCAAAAGAAATATTAGGAAAATTGTTGAATAACTTCTTGAGTAACAATATGGCAGTTTGGAAGGGAGGTACAGTTCCACAGGTCTTTTTGAAAGTAGTGCCTGTTGACAGTTTTAGTCTATAAGGATTATTCTCAAAAGTTTGTTGATAGATTTTTTTTTTTAGTGGTTTTGTATTTATGTGGAATAGAAGTGTCTCTAGGTGTTTACGTGACATACGGTCTTTTTCCAGACCTAATGATTACAGAACTGGCTAGATTTTGATTGTTAGTTATATTTTCTATTAAATGAGGGGAGAGTACAGCAGCATTTTGTATCAGATTTCTAATTAAATGTTTTTCTCTGCAGGATGGAAGTTCCTCCTCTACTAATATCTGTGTAGAAGATCTTCAGAAAAATAAAGACTCAAATACCACAATTAAAGATAGATTGGCTCAAACTGTTAGGCAGAATACTAAGTTCTTTTTTGACCCAGTTAGGAAATGTAATGGACAGCCAGTACCCTTTCAACAACCAAAGCTTTTCACAGGAGGAGTGATGCGGTGGTACCAAGTAGAAGGCATGGAATGGCTGAGGGTAAGGAATTGTCACTTTTAGTACTATATTGCTTCCTATCTGTAATAGCCTAGTAATATAACATACCACAATTTTAGTTGCACCTTCCATGCTTTACTTTTACATATAAAATGAATTTTTATGTGTACTTTTTTTTTTTTGGTACTGGAGAGCAAACTCAGGACCCTGTGCTTGCGAGGCAGGCGCTGGAACCACTGAGCTAAATTCCTGGCCCTTCTGTGTACTTTTTTGATTTGTTCCCCTGAATAAATTTTTGAAAGTGAAAATTACTGTGTTAGATTTCCAGCACATTTTATGGCTTCGTTAAAAGACTTCCCACAAAGGTTGTTATAATTTATGTTGTGTATGTATTAATCTCACAATTGCCATCTTTTTTGAATGTTCTCTTAAAAAAGGGAGACATAAACTATTGCTAATTTAGTAGATCTTTATATAAGAATTTGAATATAGTATGTATTCTTTTGTCCAGATGCTCTGGGAAAATGGAATTAATGGCATTTTAGCAGATGAAATGGGGTTAGGCAAGACTGTTCAGTGCATTGCCACAATTGCATTGATGATTCAGAGAGGAGTACCTGGACCTTTTCTTGTCTGTGGTCCTTTGTCTACACTTCCTAACTGGATTGCTGAGTTCAGAAGATTTACACCAGATGTAAGTTTCCTCATGGTAAATGTATTATTTCATATGTATTTGTTTTGTTGCCGGAATTAAATTGTAGACTTCCTACTATACAGTAATTTATTTTTTTATAAGCATTACATCTGGTTGGACTTATTTAATCTGAGAGATACCATTCTTTGAAAAGAAGAATAGATATTGGTAATCTTGTGCTTCTTTCCTAAAATGTTCCTGATTTTAAGGATTGAATAATTTCATTCACCTTAAACCTAGGTAGAATTTTTTTTTATTTTTCTTTTTGGTCCGGGGAATCAGGGTCTCATGCTTGCTACATAGGTGCTGTGCTGCTGAGCTACATCTCTGGCCCCCGAGCTACACATCCCTGGCCCTTTTTTTTTATTTTTTATTTTTTTATTTTAACGGTACCTGGGTCGAACTCAGGACCCCTTGAATTTGCCAGGCAGGCGCAGCACCTCAGAGCAACATCCCCAACCCTTAATATCTATTTTTACATGATATTATTTCCCTATATACATAGTATCTCATGTAGATCCTTATTTAATGAGAGGAATATATTCTAGAAGTAGAGCACCTTCCCTATCTGCCTTTTATATTTTTGGGTTTTGTTTTGTTTTCCTCCAGTGGTGATTTTAGGATTTATTAGATTATCTCATTTTGCTGTAGAAAAATAGAACTTAAATTTTGTCAGAAAATTACTTCATATTTTCCAATTAATTGCTACTTACATTTTATTCTAAATCAACCTAAAATCTAGATTCCTACTATGTTATATCATGGAAGCCAGCAGGAACGTCGAAAATTGGTAAAGAGCATTAACAAACAGACCGGGACACTGCAGATTCATCCTGTGGTGATCACATCATTTGAAATAGCCATGAGAGACCGAAATGCATTACAGGTACAGAAAAGGTCTTCATTGATTTCTTTATAATCTATATATCATATATTTTACATACCACTTTCTCATGCAGTCCCATTTTTTAAAATTTTCTGGTTGAAGTTATAAATGGTAGTGTGCCCATTCCTTTAGAAACTAGAAGCTTATATTAACAGATTGGGATTAAGCCTATTGTCTCTTAAATCCTATTACTTTTTTGTTGTTGTTGTTACCGGGGATCGAACTTGGGACCTTTCACTTGCTAGGCAGGCGGTGGAACCACTGAGCTAAATCCCTGGCCCCAATCCTATTACATTTTAACCTATGAACATAAAGAATTTCTCTGATTTTAAGGCTTATTAATGGTGCAGTGGATGTGTGTGTGTGTCTGTGTGAGACAGAGAGAGAGCCTTTTTTTTTTTTTGGTGCTGGGGATCAAACTCGGGACCTTGTGCTTGCAAGACAGGCAGCAGCACCACTGAGCTGAATCCTCAGCTTTAACCTGAGAGCATAATACCATCTTAAATGTGTTAGACTTTGCCAGATAGACCTAATCTATGAGTATTTTATTATGTTAGAATTTGCTAGGTAAACCTAACTATTCTGAATGTATTACAGCTAATGCTTATGCTTTGAGAATATGGAATTTACCAATAAATTCCAATTTTGGTAGTAGTGAAGATTGAACCCAAAATCTCTATACCAAGCTATATTTTTTATTTTTTTATTTGGAGACAGTCTCACCAAGTTATCCAGGGTGGGCTCAAGCTGAGTAGCTGGGATTACAGGCACATGCCACTCTACCTTGGCTCACTTTGTCTTTAAATAAGAAAATATTATTTGAACATGAGTAATTTTTAGACATTCTCATGGACTGTCATTAATATTTTCATATTTATTTTTCTTAACATTCTAGCTACCCATTTATTATGTCCATGTTATAATGCAGCTAGAAAACTTAGCTTCAATGCTGCTGTATTACAGCTCTCTTTTTTTGTTTAGAATTTTTTCCTTTTTTCAATTTTTGCAGTACTGGGTATTAACCCTAGGACCTCAAGAGTGATAGGCAAACACTACACCGCTGAACTATGTCTCCAAACCCTTTTTCTTTTAAAATAGGATCTTGCTAAATTTCCCAGACTGGCCTTAACACTTGAGACTCCTTCTGCCCAGGCTTCCTGCGTAGCTGGGATATAAGCATTTACCACCATGCCTTACTCACATGTGCTTTATTGTTTGCCTTTTCTTTCTTGGACCATTTGATGTCCCTGCAAGTGTAGTCCACTTAGATTTTTTTTTTTTTGCATAAAACAATTAGTTACTTAATGGGTTCAACAAAGTCAAAGCACATAGATCATAAGTGGAGTACATATTATGTATGGGTGGCAAAATCATGACTAATGTTTGTCAAATGTTACATGTATGTGAGTAGAACTTTGGAGTAGGATTTGCAGAATCCTACTTTTGGAAGTTTAACAAAAAGTTTATGAAAATGGGTAAAAGTATCAAAATCATTTCTTCGTAGTATAAGTATCATACTGATCATAGAAAAAATAGTGTATGGAAAAATGTGAAAGTAGCTTATTCTGTGTGAGAATTCTACTTTCATACTGAATAACAACTGTTAACATTATTCCATGTAATATGGAGACTCTAATTAATTTATTTTCCTATCTTTTCCATAGTGAAATAGTTAAACTTCTTGCCAGTTGTATTTACTAGTGGCTAGAATTTTTCTACTTTTCTCTTTAACTGAGGCTATGTTATCATTTCAAGCATTTAAGCTTTAATGGAGAAAGCTGCAGAGTTCTGATGCTCCTGTTTATGAGTCATAAAAGTATCAGAACCCTTTTGCTATTTTTATTTTTAGGTTCCTCATTGTTTCTGTTTCCTTGGTTTTCTCTTGTCTTTCACTTACTCATCCATAAAGTGTGGGGTTTTATTTTCTTTTCCTCTCTTTTTTTAAGAGAGAATTTCATTGTGTGGCCTAGGCTGGCTTCCAACTAAACATCCTCCTGTCTTAGTGTCTAGAGTAACTGGGATTATAGACATGTACGCCACGATATGCACCTGATGTTTTATATTTTATTTGATCAAATAGATATGTCTTTTGAAGTAAGAAATTATTTGGCTTATTATTATTTGGGTTGCCATAGTGCCAGAAGAGTAAGTCCTTTTCAAGTGATTTTATTAAAAAGTAATGATTTTATTTTTCATTCTGTTAGGAATGTACTATATAATTAAATGCAAAAGATGCGTCATTTTGTACTCTGACTCTCTTTGAAAATATGTTACTAAAGTTAACTGTAGAAGAATGGAAAACCTATACAGACTGATAACTAAGAAATTGAGAACATTGTCAGATGCAAAAGAATGCCAGTTTCAAATGTAGACCTCAAGATGTGAAACTAAAAGTTTCAAGCTACTTTTTAGGAATCTAGTATTTGTTAAGCTAAGATTAAAAACTTGATAAAACAGACAGAAAAGCTAGACTATCACTTAAGAATGAAGGTCTCTTAAGTACATTATAGCAAGTAGACTTAAAGTATTTCGTGATGTAGTTATGTCTGCTCCAGGAACACAAGTACACACTGGTTTTAGGAATCTACTGATTTATCCCATTAGTTGATCAAAGAAAACCATGATCATCTCAATGGGTACCAAAATGATATTTGATAAAATTCAACATCCCTCATAGAAGAGAACCTTTATTTTTAGAAATGTCTTTAGAAAAAATAATGAGATTGTTATTTTTAAAATTTTCCCTCGATTCATTTTCTAGCATTGCTTTTGGAAGTACTTAATTGTAGATGAAGGACACAGGATTAAGAATATGAAGTGCCGTCTAATCAGGGAGTTAAAGCGGTTCAATGCTGATAACAAACTTCTTTTGACTGGTACTCCTTTGCAAAACAATTTATCAGAACTTTGGTCATTGCTAAACTTTTTGTTGCCAGATGTATTTGATGACTTGAAAAGGTAGGTAAGCCATTATTTAACTGTTTTCTTTTTAAAAAAATTTTTTTAACTGTTCTCTGTATATTTTTTTCAAACCTAAATATCTGTGGCCTTAGCTGAAATTAATTTTTCTAGGTGACTGATTTTAATGATATTTTTGGCAAGTTTTTTGTGGTGTACATTGTGGGTTCTACTTTTGACAAAGTTGCATGAAAGCAGATAAATAAAAGATAATTTTGGGGCCGGGGATTTAGCTCAGTGGTTTTGTCGCCTGCTGTGCAAGTGCAAGGACCCGAGTTCGATCTCTGGTACCAAAAAAAAAAAGATGATTTTGAACTTCCCCAGATTGATTAAAGAAAACATTAAAATGCTGTCTTATGAAAATTTTTATAATACTTTTCTAATCTTAATTTTCTAAAACGCTATTAGTTTTTTACACTAATTTTAGTCTTTACAAAACAACCTGAATTGATAGAAAAGTTAAATAAATTATCTCCATAGAAAACTTAGTCGTAAAGTTGTTAGAGAATTAAGTAGTTGGCAGCAGAGCAAAAATGGAGACCACGTTTGCCCTGTTTTAGTCTAGCACTTTTTATCCTAAAAATGGTTTGAGTTTCCGCTTATATGATAAAAACAAATACAGTCTTTAGAAAACAGTATCTTCTGATGGAAGGATAAATAAGAATAAGTAAGAAGGAAGCAACAAAAGTGAAGTAAAAAAAGAATTCATTTATACCCATGTTGGCATCAGTGAAGGAAGAAACTAATTGGATAAAGAGAAATAGCTTTTAATGTTTTATTTTGAGAATTATTCTAAATCTGATTATCAAATACAGGCCCAAGCCAGGTCCCTTATTTGATTGCACACTATTGCTAAAGGACAAGATTTCCAGGTACTACACAGACCTACTGAGTTAGGGTATTGAGATGTAGGAGCTAAAAATACTAATTTTTAAAAGTACTTTATGGGGCCGGGGTAGCTCAGTGGTTTCTCCGCCTGTTGTGCAAGTGCAAGGACCCGAATTCGATCCCCGGTACC